CCTCCTGGGTTCAGGCAATTCTCCTGCCTCAGCCTCCTGAGTAGCTGGGATTACAAGCACGCGCCACCATGCCCAGCTAATGTTTTGTATTTTTAGTAGAGACGGGGTTTCACCATGTTGACCAGGATGGTCTCGATCTCTTGACCTCGTGATCCACCCACCTCGGCCTCCCAAAGTGCTGGGATTACAGGCGTGAGCCACCGCTCCCGGCCTGCCTGCCTTTTTGAAGCCTTTTTAGCTGCCTTTTCAGCTGCCAGAGCAGCCTGTTTCTGTTTCTTATGGTTTCGATTGTTAAAAACCTTCTGAGCTATTTCTAGGATCTGGGTGATATTTATCCCAGCAAATCCTCAAGTTTTTGTAATTTTTTTTGAATGTCAAGTGCTGCCTGGGCCACAAATGCCAAATTAATAGCACGGCTATTGCGGGGAGCTGCTGGATTAAATGGGGCGTAAATTCAATAGGCCTCCTGAAGGCATTTCAAAAACACTCCAGGTAACTTATTGGGCCCCTGGACAACTTCAGTTGTCTTAGACAGATTCAGAGGTTTTCAAGCGGCTCCTTTAATACCCACAGGGAGATACCGGTGGAAATTGTTCAAAGCTCTACTCCCCCTACTCCCTGCCCCCAAGGTATCTGGGTCCCAGTCAGGCTGAGTAGAAGGAAAAAACTTCCTCTAGGAGGTCTTAGGCTCCCTCCTCCGGCATACTGGCTGAACTAAGGAAAAAACTTTCTGGCCTCCCTTCAAATATGGTCCCTTTTCTTAGCTGTAAGAAGGGTTAGGAGAAGCTGTTGACAATTAACCCAGGTGGGCTGGTGAGTCTGGAGTATGGACTCAACCAGTGAGGTTGGGACCTGAGGTTTCTCAGAGAAAGGTGGGTTTTTGAGCCTTCCAGTTGTACAGGTTAGAAGTAGAAAACGGGACATAGACCAAAAATGGGGCAGAATGATCGCTGCCTGGCGGGGGTTAAGGGGAGGAGTGGGGCAGCCTCCTCCAGCCGAGGCTGCAGTAGGGAGGTGGGGTTTCTCCATGTTAACCAGGTTGGTCTGGAACTCCTGACCCCAGGTGATCTGCCCGCCTTGGCTTCCCAAAGTGCTGGGATTACAGGTGTGAGCCACTGTGCCTGGCAGTAGCTGTCAGATTCTATCACCACCTGGAGAGTGTCCTATGAACAGCAAAGAGCTTCTTGGTTTATAATGGCAGTTCCAAGGTGAATGTGCAGCATCTTGTTTGGAAGGCTAAGAAGGTAAAAACAACTTAGCTTACAGGCTAAATTGCATTCTGTTTGCCACTACATTTGGATTTTTACTGACTCATGGGTGGTGGATACCGACCTGGTCATATGGTCAGGCTGAAGAGCAATAGAAAACTGGCCTCTTAAAGGGATTCCCTAAGAAAATCACTATGGAAATTTGAGGGATGCATTAAAGTAGGACATATTAATGCTCAATAGAAGAACCACTTTCCTGGATTGGAAGGTGATTGGCACCAGTGAGTGAATTTCCCAGTTTGCTCACTCGAGGTGGCTACCTGGGTCCATGAAATGAGTGGGGTCAGGAATTCGAGGCCAACCTGGTTAACATGGAGAAACCCTGTCTCTACTAAAAATACAAAAATTAGCCAGGCGTGGTGGTATGCACCTGTAATCCCAGCTTTTCAGGGGGCTAAGGCAGGAGAATCGCTGGAACTCAGGAGGCAAAAGTTACAGTGAGCTGAGATCGCATCACTGCACCCCAGCCTAGATGACAGAGCGAGACTTCATCTCGAAATAAATAAATAAATAAATTAAATAATCTGGCAGCTCCTCAGATGGTTCGCAAGTCAATTCTAGGGGAAAAAGTCTATCTGCTTGAAAATATGGTGAATATCTCCTGGCATTCCCCCAGTAGTATGTTCTGGCACAAAGAACTTCCATTTTGTTATGGAGCTCTTCTAGGCACTTCTCTCCCCATTGGATAATTTCTCCAACATCATCCAAAATGTTACGGGTATTTTATGTTTAAGATTATTTTATATTTTTCAGTTATAGTGGAAGTTTTACTTAAGGTCTGATAGCAAATAAGCAATTTCCCGCAAATGGAAATTCTCTGGTCCAAATTTCCAGCAGTTATTGCTGGTTGGCACTCACTTTTGCCATAAGCCCGAGCCTATATTTCACACGGGGCTATTGTACAGAGAATTTGTCCCTACTGGCACTTCAGCTTCTATTTCATACTGTTTGTTTGAAATTAATAATCTGTGTGACCTGGGCCATCTTATTTGTTCCCATTTTAGCACATTAAATTAATATTGCCCAAAGGGTGATTTTTTTTTTTTTTGAGACAGTCTTGCTGTGTTGCTCAAGCTAGAGTGCTGTGGTGCGATCTCGGCTCACTGCAACCTCCCGCTCCCGGGTTCAAGCGATTCTCCTGCCTCAGCCTCTCAAGTAGCTGGGATTACAAGTGCCTACCGCCTCCAGCTAATTTTCGTATTTTTAGTAGAGACAGGGTTTCACCGTCTTGGCCAGGCTGGTCTCAAACTCCTGATCTCGTGATCCACCTGCCTCAGGCTTCCGAAGTGCTTGGATTACAGGCATGAGCCATGGCACCCAGGCCCAAAGGGTGAATTTATGTGCCTTCTGTTTATAATAGTAGGAAGGGGAAATATTCCCCGGTCAGATACAATGTCCCCATAAACATTCAATACTACAATATTCCTGCATACATTCAATACTACAATATCCTCATACTACAGTCAACAAAAAGATATGCTATTCACATATAAAAACTGTTCAAACATATGAATTTTAATCCAAACTTTTTTTTCACCTTAGTTTCATCAACACTTGCATCCCTGACTGAAGCTTCTGCTAGGACTTCACTAACAGATTTTCATTTTATTAATACTACGGGCCGGGCACAGTGGCTCACGCCTGTAATCCCAGCACTTTGGGAGGCCGAGGGGGGTGGATCACAAAGTCAGGAGTTTGAGACCATCCTGGCCAATATGGTGAAACCCTGTCTCTACAAAAAGTACAAAAATTAGTCAGGTGTGTTGGCTGGCGCCTGTAGTCCCAGCTACTTGGCAGGTTGAGGCAGAAGAATCACTTGAACCTGGGAGGCGGAGGTTGCAGTGAGCGGAAATCCTGCACTGGACTCCAGCCTGGCGCCAGGCGACAGAACAAGACTCTGTCTCAAAAAAAAAAAAAAATACGAGATAGGGAAAGTGTGCCCCATTAAGACATAATATTCATTCTCTTAAAACATCCATGTATAGGACCTACAACCACTTCACATAAATCCCATCTAAACATTCTATTTTTCTCCCTTAGTCCCATCTACCCTTGATTTCTATACACTTTTGTCCTAATTGTGTTCTTAGTGAGGGCTCATTAGCAGGGTACTGTGGTGTATATGGCTCCTATGTTAAGGAGTCCTAGAAATGCCCCTTTTCCACCCTGATGGTTTTTCTCACTGATGTGGACAAGGCCTTGGATCTGCAGTGGTGGTGGGGGTGTGGGGGGGTGGTGGTGGTGAACTAAAGGACCCTGATCCATTTGTCATCAATCATTATACTGATTTGGTTATGGGACTCTCACCCCAGCTGATTCAAGGTAAGGTTTTTTGAATTCCTCAACACTAGGTTGGATAAATCATGTGCCCAGGGCCCTTCATGTTGGGACACCAGCAGGGCCCCTCCTTGGTCCACCTCAACCTCTCAGAGTACTGCTCTAAGACTGTTGTTTTGACCCCATTCACGTCAGCTTTATTTCCGTTTATTTTTTTGAGATATAGTCTCTCTCTGTCACCCAGGCTAGTGTGCAGTGGCACAATCTTGGTTCACTGCAACCTCCGCCTCCCAGGTTCAGGTGATTCTCCTGCCTCATTCTCCCGAGTAGCTGAGACTATGGGCACACTCTACCACGCCCAACTAATTTTTGTATTTTTGGTAGAGACAGGGTTTCACCATGTTGGCCAGGCTGACCTAGAACTCCTGACCTCAGGTGATCCGCACCCCCCTCGGCTTCCCAAAGTGTTGGGATTACAGGTGTGAGCCACCACACCCAGGCCTTTATTTTATTTTTTTTTAACAACTGCTTACAGAGT